TTTGCTTAGTCAGATAAATATCAAAATCTCTGTTTCGATTTGCCATTGTAGTCAGAGCTAAAGAAATGCGATTCATAATAGTGGAGAAGGGCCAGCCCCGTGGCTTAGCCGTTAAGTGCGCGCGCTCCGCTGCTGGCGGCCCGGGTTCGGATTCCGGGCGCACACCAACGCACCGCCTCTCTGGCCATGCTGAGGCCGTGTCCCACATAGAGCAACTAGCAGGATGTGCAACTATGACATACAACTATCTACTGGGGCTTTGGGGGAAAAAATAAAAATAAAAGTTAAAAAAAAAAATAATAGTGGAGGAAACTCCTGGTTATTTCATCCAACTTTTCTCTGTCCCAGGATATGGAGAATGCATATGACTTAAACCCCTTTAAATACCATACTCCCATAAATTTATATCCTTTTCCTGAAGGCACATATTATACATGGCTCTTGTAAAATATTTCTCCAAACCTCTATACATCTTTTACTAAAGCTACAGGGCAATATCTTTAAATATCCATAAAGGGTCATAGATTTTTATCATGCTTGATTGAGGAAGGCAGTCGCTCCCCTGGAACTGAGAGTCTGCACTCACCTGACTCTGATATTTTTCCTACAGCTTTTAAGCTGAAGAGGAATCCTGCATGCAGGGCAGGCTTCTGGGTGACGTGTCATTAGCGTCACCTGCTAGGGGATGTGTACCATTCATTATGTGTGGGCTTGGTTATGCCCCACAGGGACAATGAACAGGGAAGAACAGTCTTCCCAAACAAACCTATAAAACCATAATGTTTATGGGAAGACTTCCCATTATATGTTTATGGACTTATGAGTTGAAGAAATGAGGCCAAGTTATTTAAAATAACAAAAAAATTTTAAAATGCACACCTTCTGATTAGTTTCCAAGATGAATTATTGATATTATAGGAAATTACTAACTGAATTTTAGTGAAAAAACCTTTGTGATATTGGTGAATGAGATTTAAAAATTAGCATCATAGTTTAGTACGTGTGGCCAATGATGCATTTCTTTCATCTGGATCTTCATGTCAGATTAGGTATCATTTTTTGACTCTGATGGTCCTAAAAAGCAAGATATTGAAACAAAAGTGGACTTAGAACTCAAATATTCAAAGTTGTAGTTTTAGGCAAAAATTATCTCTAAATATAAAATACATTGTACTGGAGGGAAACCTGAAAAAAGTTCTCCACTGATAGGCAAACATTACCCTTTGTTAGGTGCATGTTCTGTGCCAAGTTACTAAACAAACAGTGGAAGAACAAAAACCATTGGGAGAAATCTGGGTGAATTATCACTAGTTAATATGAGCTGGCGTACTTTCTACTGGTAGCATAGACATAAGCTTAACCATGTACAGAAACACTGAAGTGGTTAAACTTGCAAAAGAAATCTGTGAAAGACTATAAAATCAGCTTGTCTCACTTAAGGCAATTAAAGCCCTTAAAATTATGTCTGTATCTGAAGTAGTGCAAAGTGCCAATGGTTTAAAATAATTCTTCTGAAGTGAATGTGTTTAATGAACATCATTTTTTGGAATATTAAACTTATGATTCTTAAGGATTTGGCATCGGAGACAAAGGAAAAGACTCCAGACCCATATCTAACTGCCTACTCTCCATTTCCCATTAAATGTCACAAAGATGCCCTGAATTAAACATGTGCAAGACTGAACCATGGTTCCCTCCAGATCCTGGTTCTCTTTCAGTGTTTCCTATCACAGAAAATGGCTGGTTTTAAATCTCTGATGAAAAGTATGAGGAGGCCATTGACTGAAACTAGAAAGGCAGATGAGGAAAATATGGATATGTGCGGAAAATGTGCATTAATTTTAGCTATGTTGAATGAAGTTGGGACACGCAGGTAGAAATACTCTGTGGACACTTGGAGTTGAGAATCTAGGGAGATGGATTTGAGTAGGGGAGGTAAATTTGAGAGTCATCTACATAGAGGTGATAGATGAAGTTAAGGGAGACAAATGAGCATTTGAGTGGGGGAAAAAGGCAGAAGGGAGAGGAGCCAGGGAAGCTTATTGTGTATCACAAAATCAAAGGGAATTAAATAAGTAAAGGGCAGTGTCAGGAATGTCAGTGGATGGGAATGAGATAAAGTCACTGGATTTAATGACCTTTGAGAGTTTCAGAAAAGTGGTGAGACCACAAGCCAAATTACAGTAGTTATAAAAAGGGGTGTGTGTGTATTCTAGTCCTTGCTTTACCTCTAACCAGTTGCTTGTTCTTATGCAAGTTGCTAATGTCACTGGACCTCAGCCTTTTCATCTTTAAAATGGGAGGATTCCTTTGATAAACTCATCTAGATTCTGAGAAGTTGAAGTAGACATTTTCAATGAATGAAAGAGTAAATGAATAAAACTATATGTATTTCCTACTAGTTCTAGAAAGAATTTCCATAGATAAGGAGAAGTGGTTAGTATTGACTACTCACTTTAAGATGCCTTGCTGTGAAAGGAAGATTATCAGTAATAGAGTATTTAATGGAAATAGTATTATCAAGGAAAGGATTTTTAAAACAAAGACTCTTGCAGATTATTATATCATTTTCATTCTACAAATGATACACAGTAATATTACAAAGTAAAGAGATACAGGGGACCTTTGGCACTTAATTTTCTGGCTGATACTTATTTTTCTTTTGATTCTTTGTGAATGTACATGACATGCAGTTCTGCTACATATGGATTTCTTACCTCTTTGACAATATTTATTAGGTCATAGCATTGGTGACATTGGAATTCAACAATGTGCAGGAAAAAAGTGTATTGGAAATGCAACATTGCTTTGTCAATTGTTTTCCTGTACATTGCCAGTTTTTTTTTTTTCTGGTCCTTTTTCAACAATTCAACCTACTCAAAAAACTAGTAGTTGACTTGGGGCACCAGGGCTGGTAAAATAATTGCTTGAACCTCAAGTCTAGATTTTCAATGTCTGTGGTGGAGCATTTTGAGAGGCTGATGTCAAGTCCAAGGCCAGCCGACAGAGTCTGAGAATTCTGAGTGAGGGGCCGGCCAGTGGAGCAAGTGGTTAAGTGCGTGCGCTCCGCTGCGGCGGCCCGGGGTTTGCCAGTTCGGATCCCAGGCATGCACCAACACACCGCTTGTCCAGCCATGCTGTGGTGGCATCCCATATAAAGTGGAGGAAGATGGGGGGCCGGCCCGGTGGCGCAAGCGGTTAAGTGCGCTTGCTCTGCTGTGGCGGCCTGGGGTTCGCCGGTTGGGATCCTGTGCGCGCACCGATGCACCACTGGTCAGGCCACACTGTGGCAGGCGTCCCATATAAGTGGAGGAAGATGGGCATGGATGTTAGCCCAGGGCCAGTCTTCCTCAGCAAAAAGAAGAGGATTGGCAGATGTTAGCTCAGGGCCCATCTTCCTCACCAAAAAAAAAAAAAAAGTGGAGGAAGATGGGCATGGATGTTAGCCCAGGGCCAGTCTTCCTCAGCAAAAAAAGAGGAGGATTGGCAGATGTTAGCACAGGGCTGATCTCCTCACACACACACACACACACACACACACAAAATAGAGGTAAAGAATTCTGAGTGGACATCTTTTTCAATATAAAATTATTACTACATCATGGGTACGTAGCATGTCTTTTTTAGAGTCTTTTCTTCCTACTTAAATTGTTTCCTCCAGAAGTTTATTTTTAAATTTATTATAAAGGTTATTTACATTTATATTACACAGTAAAAATATATAGTATATGTAACACTGTATCATATTTATAAACTAAATTTATTTCTGGGATGTTCACATTAACAAAGATCTATGAGAGAGATTTTCTCAGTGAAGAGGCATTGAATTATAAAACTGGATTCTAGAATTTTCTGACTGACAGTCATTCCAACTGCAAATGGCTTAATCTGATATCTATCTCAAAGAAGCCATTCTTCAGGGAAGCTAATGGCATGCTGGATACATTCTCTAATTCAACCAGAAGGACTCAGTTGTCTTTCCTAAATCTGACGTATAGGCAAGGGGGAAATCAAAGCGGAAAAAAATAATTCTAACATCCAGAATTCATCACAGTATTTAAACAATTAGAATTTTACTTTATTTCAGAATAAGTATACAGTTGAAAAAAAGATATTTACTAAAGCCACAACATTATTCATATGGACAAAACTTTTATAGCAAAACCGTGGTACATGAGCATTAGTAATCTGAATACTATATGGATATAGAAGATATTTAAAAAACGGAAATGATGTATTCCAGAGGCTGTAATAGGCACAATATATATGCTTGTATTGGGTCTGCAAGCACTATGCTGTAATTCATTACACATGATCCAAGAAGTTGCTGACTTTTCAGCTCTACGTACTGAAAAGATACAAAGGAATATCATAGTTACTCTTAGGTTGAAAAAATGTGTACTATCAATACTACAAAATAGGAGCAGCAAGCCAAACCAACAAACAATTCCTTAGGTTTTGGAAGAAGTAATACATGTATGGCTTTTTCGTGTTCATTTTTGAGACTGGTTAGCAAGTCTGGCAAGTGGAAAAGAAGAAAGTAATTTATAATAAAACAGTAAAGACATCATTTACAAGGCATCTGATATTTAACAGCTTCAAAACTGGGAAACAAAAATTGAGCTTGATCTGAAAGCAAAATCGTGAGGTATTATATCTGCTTCCTCCCTACTAATTTCTGGCATAAAAATCTTTATGCAGAAAAGTAAGTTTTCCAAGTGACATGGCAGAAAAATATTTAAGATAAATCAATAGAATTTACTTTTGATTTTTAGTAACTGTAAATTAAAGTCTTCCAAGGACCAAGAAACTGGATACAGTCCTTAGTATGGAATTTTCTTATGTCTTGTAAAAACATGGGTTGAAATTTTTCATGCTGACAGTGTAGCCACGCTGATAAAGGTGAACATATGGTAAAAATAAGAAAAAAATGGTAGATTTTTCAGAGCATACCACTACTACATCATATCGAAATTGTCTAAAAGTTCAAAACGTACATCTTAGATTCTCGAAGGTTTTATTTTCCAACTAGCAATTAAACATAAGTGTAAAAGTGAACCATGCAATATTTTTGCTATCAGCTACTGTGTTAATGATATGAGAGAACAGAATTCTTTTTTTTCCCCTTTAAACGTGTAATGCTCACAAGTCATCATGTGGAACTCAAATCACACACAAATGCAAATCATGAAGAAACATTAAATACTTCAAAATGCCCACGAAGGCGTGCCAGAAATGATGCTGTTCCTAGAGCACAGAATTGTTGGAGGCCAAGACTAAAACAGTAGGTGCTACTGCAACTTCTAGGTCTTTAATGCTGCTCTTCTCTTCTCTTTTCTTTTCTTTTCTTTTGATGGGGGAATTCGGGTTAGGGGATTCGGTCTCCCCGGAGGTTAGGCCATAATTTCTGCAGGTTCAGTGACCAACTTGGCTCCATCCCACGTTGTCTTGAACTGCTCAGGAACAGGAAATTCTCTCTGGAAAAAGGCAAGAAGAACAAAGTTTCTTTAAACCAAGGCTTCCTCTTGCCAATAGTGTCATGGAGTGGTCTTCTGTGTCACAGGGAGATTTGCGTGGGCATGTGTGAGTTCTGTGACTGTTGGCCAGCATCATCAGTAAAGCGGGCACTTACTAGAAACCAGCCATTCTTCTAAGCACTGGATACATGTGAACTCAGTTAATCTCCTACACATCCCTATGAGTTAGATGTTATTGAGATGCCATCTATAGGAAACAGAGGCCTGAGAGGTTAAGCAACTGGCCCAAGATGGTATCACAAGAGAGCAGAGCAGCCCGAGTTCAAACCTAGACAGTCTCTCTTACCCACGACTCTCCACCAAACTCTAACATGTACGTGAATCAGCCGGGCATCTTGTTGAAATGCAGATTCTGATTCAGCAGATTTGGGGAAGAGAATGAGAATCTGCATTTCCAACAAGATCCAAAGGGATGCCTAGGCTGCAGGTCCCCAGTCACACCAAGTAGAAAGGATTTATCCCGGTGTTGTCTATTCTTTGATGAAATATAAACATATGCTTTGGGCTGTATATAAATTTGTTACCCTTCATCCTGCCACCCTACTCTTCCCACTGAGAAATATATGCACACACATCACACACATACACCCACCCACACATACACACACAAAGAAAAATGCAGAATAGCCAAAATCAAAGTAGTTTGGAATCTCTCCTTTCCCCAGAGAGTGATTCGTCAGTCATTTCAGAAGAGGATCGAAAAGGAAGGTGAGGAGCAGACCCTGAGCCCTGGCTTCTGTGTGGCCTCCCGAGACTTCCTCGACATCCCGCGCTGTTGAAACCCCAAGTGTCTGTTAAGCTTGATGAATAAATGAAAAGGAATAGGATATATTGGGGCATATGAGAAAGCCATTTGGTTTAAAACTGTGGCCTGACCTGGTTTTTCCAGAAGGGCCTGACATGGCCTGTTGAGCATGCATTGCACATCTCCTTTAAATACTTTTAATGTCCCAAAGCCAAAAATGATGCCCTTAAAGATAGGGATGTGGCTCCCCCATATCGGCATTTCTTTAAGGATAAGCATCTCTTCCCAGAAACGAAGGATTAATTACTGACTTCTTGTGTTCACCTTGTGACCACTGACCTGCTGTGCCAGCAAAGCTTCTTGTGACTGCTGTAAAAGGGACATTGCTGTCATACATGATGTATGCTCTTTGTTCCAAGACAGTATATAACCACTCTGTACACCCTACTTCTTCAGAGTGCTTCCTTCCTTTGTGAAGGGCTTTATGGTCCTTAGGCCTGGCTCATAATAAACTCACCTCAATTTTGATTTATAGATTGATTATGGATTATTTGCATCGACAAGCGGATGCCTGTGCTCACCGATGTTTCAGTGGAATACACACAGGAGTACGTATCTTCCTAGATGTAGGATCCAACTGTTTCTTTTGGAAGAAGCTATTTATTTATTTATTTTAAAGGGAAGGCCCTAACTGGTGCAGCCACTATGGAAAACAGTATGGAGATTCCTCAAAAAATCAACGATAGAACTACCATATGATCCAGCTATTCCACTGTTGGGTATTTATCCAAAGAACTTGAAAACACCAATTTGCAAAGGTACATGCACCCCTGTGTTCATTGCAGCCTTATTCACGATAGCCAAGACTTGGAAGCAACCTAAGTGCCCATCAAGGGACGAATGGATAAAGAAGCTGTGGTATATATACACAATGGAATACTACTCAGCCATAAGAAACGATGAAATCCAGCCATTTGTGACAACATGGATGGACATTGAGGGCATGATGCAAAGTGAAATAAGTCAGAGGGAGAAGGTCAAATACCGTATGAATTCCTTCATTAAGTAGTAGATAATAACAACAATAAACAAACACATAGGGACAGAGATTGGATTGGTGGTTACCAGAGGGGAAGGGGGGAGGGAGGAGGGTGAAAGGGATAATTGGGTACATGTGTGTGGTGATGGGTTGTAATTAGTATTTTGGTGGTGAACATGATGTAATCTATGCAGAAATAGAAGTACAATGATGTACACCTGAAATTTTTACAATGTTATAAACCAATGTTACTGCAATAAACAAAAAATTAAAAAAAATAAAAAATAAAAAAAAAAAAATAAAGGGAAGGCCCTTTCTATAATGAGTGATGTTGTCTCCTTGAGGGAAATCTGCCATGGAAGGTCTTAAGATGAAGCAAAGAAGTCACAGTCTAAATAACCGTGTGTGTGTGTGTATGTGTCTGTCTGTGTCTGTCTGTGTCTGTGTGTCTATGTAGCCAATATCCCTCTGGGGCTCTTCTTGATGAGTAAATCAGGCTTTGTATTTGCTCTCAAGTACCAGGCCAGGGAGAGAATGCTCCCGAGTGGAAGCACCTCTTTGATAGTAACTGTTCCAAATCTTCTTTGGGAGTGAAGTGATAGTCACATGATGACGGATCTTCTCTGGGAGACTGACATCTTTCAGGATGAATCATCTTCGTCATCCATTCCCACATCTCCATGCCCATGGTAGAACCTCTGTATTGCCCCCTATTACCTCCAGTAGGAAAAATGCATGAAGGCGGCCATGGACTGAGGGCACCAGATAATTTACCTATGAAGGGAAGACTTTACTTTTTCAGCATAAAAGCTCAACTTTTGACCTATACTAACCCTTTAGGTCAGTGGAGCTCAATCTTGGCTCCACATTGGAATCACCTGGGAAGCTTTAACCAATACAGATGTCTGGGTGCCATGTCCAGGGATTCTAGCTTAATTAGTCTGGAGTGCTCAGCCAAACCCCATTGCTTTTCTTAGCAGATCCAGTTCCCACGCAGCCGAGCCTTCTGCTTAAACAGCCGCAAAGGCCAGGAATCATCCTAAGTTTTAGCTCTCCTACCTGAAGCTGATCTGTACTGGCTTTCGCTCTTCAGCAGTCTGTTTTAGGTGGAGAGCCCAAGAGGAGATTCTTCTCTAGCTCAGGGTTTGGCTGGCCATACACCTAGTAGTGAAGCATGACCCAATGCTCAGAGTTTTGTTTTTTAGACTTAAATGATGAATTCTAGGCTTCCATATATGATGTGTGGCTGGGTGGCTGAAGAACTTACTGACAGGCAGGGAGAGAGAGCACAGCAGCAGTCAGATTGTCTGCCTAAGGAGATTAACCAGAGTGCTGACTGCTGTGTAGATGGCCAGTGACTGACCCACAGGCTGATGGGGGCCCCTCTTCCAAAGGTGTGCCTGCTAAGTTCGGTTTTCTCCCATCCTTCCCTGGTTCACTGCCCCCGTGCACAGCTGGAGGGAATTATCTCTGGACTTATTTCCCTGCTTCCAAGAAGCAACAACTAGTAGGAAGTAGTAACTTGCTTCCAAACAGCAACAACCAGCAGGTCTACCACACTGCATGATGCAGAAAATGTATTTATTGATACTTCTTCTTCAGTGTGTGAGAATCTCTGCACGCTTCTTTTAGAAGCTGCTTTGTTGGGGAGAGGAGACAAAGAAAATAAACGGTGGCAAAATCACTTAGGTGAGTGTGTCTCAGAAGGGTTGTTGGATGGATTGATGGGATCAGAGTCACCTGGGATGTCTATTAAAATACAGATTCTGGACCCCACTCCAGACCTCCTGGATCCAACCTCTAGGTGCAGACTTTGGGAGCTGGCATGTCCATCAAGCTTCCCAGCTGATTCTCATGCTGAGTTTGAGAACCTCTGATGTAACTATACCTACACAAATAGGCCTACTTATTATCCCATTTTTTTGCCAAAGCATTTCTCCCTCTTTTCTGTTTGCCTCCACCACAGCAAAGGAAAATATTTAGTCCTAAGTAATATGAACTCAGATACATGGTGTACTATTTGAGAAAAGCTAGCCCATTAAAGTAATTATTAGTAAACTGCCTTGAGAATCACAAATCCAGGAGTGAGCATAGTCAAGAAGCTGATAGGGGAGAAGATATGTGGAAGGCAGCTCTGAATACCTTTCCTGCCTGTGAATTATTCTGCAAATGAAGCTCATAGCTCGGGAGCTGATTAATCAATCTCTAAAAATGTTAATAAAGAAGGCTCAAGAAAAATTCTTTACAGCCTTTTACAAGGTACTTACGTAATCACCATCCTGAGGGATAAGTATATTCATCTCAGATGACTTGGCGCTCACAATCTCACAGTCTAGTGCATCTTCACTGAGGTATATGTGGCAGCCTTCTGTCTTATTAATGGAAATTGTTGGCACTTTCCCCATTACCTGAAATAGGAAAAAAAATCTGGGACCAAAGGAAAGAAATAGAAATTACAATGTCCCCAAATAAGTACAATTCACGGGCCTAACCAAGTCTTAGGACTAGCTGGGTCAGGGCTGGAGAGGCTGGTTAACGTACCCGTTGTCTCCAGGCTGAACTGGTAGGTGTCATGTGGGGACAAAATGAAAGGACCACACAAAGGGATTCTCAAACCTCAGGGTCTCTTTCCTGAGATAAAGGAATTAATTTGAAAACAGCAGCTGAATGTTGAGAAAAAGTCTCGCAACCCCGTTAGCGGATTTGAAACATATATTTGATTTCATGATAAAAGAAACAATTTGCATTTGCTTTTGTGGGCTTAAAATTTTAGTTTTGACAAATCTCTATGACACCTGGATTAAAACAATTTCTAATATTGTCATTTAAGAGTAAGTAAATTATTCTGTAATTGAGTAGATTTTTCCTCAACCTAAATTAGAATAAATAAGAAACATTACAATTCTTTTCACATAAGTCCTTTGCTAGATAAAAATCTCACTGGCTGAATGTGAAGCTTACATGAGATAATGAATGTCTAGGTATTTTGAAATGTATTAATTTCAGGAGCCCAAACAGGAGACTTGGTTCAGGCTACTCATTGTATGCGTAAATAGGACCATACACCAGAGGAGGTGATTCTTTGGATTGTTTACGAATATCTAAGTGCTATAAAAATTCTGATCAGTTTTAAATTTCTCTTTTAACAGTCAGTTTTCAGACAACCCCCAAAATCTCTATAGGGACAGACTGTTCCCCCAACGACCATATTCCAGCTCTATAACTCTATAATGCTTCTTGTAATGGTAACTGAAGCGATAAAGACATCTCTTCTTTCACCCTGAAGAAAAGGCTGGATTGCAAACCAAAGGAGCAACTCCTGTTGATGGTGCAGGTGATGTAAAGAACTCCTCAGGGGGAGTCTAGCCAGGTCACTACACTTCTCTGTTTTCTCCTCTCTCCATAGAAACTGGACACCGAGTTGGAAATGAGCCCCAGGGCAAAACAAAGAAGGCAGAGGTAGTTCAAGGTCAGGTGAGCACAGGGCTTTGCTATAAATAAAATAAAATAGTATTACATGTATCTATATTTCAAGAATGTGTCAGCAGTAATGTTTTGGCAATCTAGATTTGTTTATTTTATAATGATGAAGAGCATTTACATACTAACCAGAACTATAAATACCAGGCAAGTAAAGGAAAGGAGTAAATTGTCAGTGAGTCTTAGGTGATTCATTGATGAGACAGAGTGGGGCCACACGAAGCAAGCACATTACACTAGTAGATTTTATTTATTTTTATATAGTGCTATATTATGTTAAAAATATTGACATGCCCTACGTATCTGAAAAAGCAATAGCAGAATTCGAAAAATAGCCCTGATTTTGTAAGAATTGTCATTCCCCAGTGTTTTGGTCAATACTGCATTAGAGTAGATTATATACATGTTTTTTTTCCCTGGTAGTCTGTGAACACTTCGAGAACACAGATTGTTTCTTATCAGGAGAACGGGGCCAAAGAGTAGCTCCTCTGGTGAGTGACAGGTGATATGTGACCTTGCCCAGGCCACTGGTCTAGCATTTAATTCATGTTTCTGTATTAGTTTAGTTTTTCATAAATTTACTTCTTTATAAAATTTTAAAAAATTTCCATGGAATATTTTCATCTCTTCTCTATCCCATAATTTGTACTATTTTTTTAGGATAGTTTGCTAAAAACAGAATTACTGGACCAAATCATATGAGCTTCAGTCCATGCCCTTTTTTTCCTTTCAATCTTTTTAACAGCATTATTGAGGTAAAATCTGCAAACATAAAATTTACCTGTTTTAAGTGTATGATTTAATGATATTTAGTAAATTTACGGAGTTGTGCAACCATCACTTCAATTCAGTTTTAGAATATTCCCATCATCCCCAAAAGATCCCTAATGCCCATTTACAGTCAATCCCTGTCTTCACCCCCAGGCAGCCACTAATCTGCTCTCTGTCTCTATTGTGTCCAGGCCCTTTTAAAATAACTTATTAAACGTTTTAAATAGGTAATGACGTTCACTTGGTTTGAACATCCAAAAGTTTGAAAAGTATTCAGTGAAATGTCTCTCTCTTATTTCTGAACCACGCTGCCAAGTTTGTATCCCTCTTGGACAGATAGCCGTGGTTTATCCTTCCAGATTATTTTTAGAATGCAGGCCCATAGCCTTAAAAAATGAAATTATATATTTCAAACATAGAAGCATACAAAGAATAATATAACAAATATGTAAATAAGTATATGTCTGTTAAACAGCTTTATCAGAGTGTAACATTTTGGCTTATTTGCCTTGTTTTTTAGGATTATAATCTTAAAATATAGTTGAGGCCCCCTCTGTACCATCCACCGTCTCATTCACCTCCCTTCTTCCCTCCCCAGATGTAACTACTCTTCTGAATTTTGTGTTTATCATTCACACCAGGTCTGTCCCTTGGGTAAGGTGACCTTGAGCCCTCTTAAGTATATTTAACATGTGCATATTGTTTTGCACATTTTCACTCTTTATATAAAGGGACATATTATACAGTACCTGCCATTCTATAACCTGCCTTTATTGCTCAATGTTGCTTTTGATATTTACCTATTTTTATACATGTAACTGTCGTTCATTCATCTTAACAACTGTACGGTATTTTATTAGGTGGGTTTATTTATTCATTTTCCAGTTGGTGGACATTTAAATTGTTTTTGTTTTTATTGCCATTATGAATGATACTGCAATAAACATTTTTTCACGTCTCATAGACATATGTACAAGAGCTTCTTTAGCATAGGCTACGAAGGTCTTTGTTAGATGGTGCCAATTTGCTCTGCACAGTGAGTGTAATAGATTTACTCTCCCAACATTGATGTATCAGGGTTCTCATTATTCCACTTCCTTAACAATCCTTGTACCATCAGACTTTTTAATGTGCAGGCAGTTGCACAGTTCTAATATGCATGGGTTTCAGTTAATGGGCTCCTTGCAAAGTAAGGACAGCCTGAATGCAAAACTGATGAGTATGAAAAGATATATCTAACTGTAGCATTAATTTACGCTTCTACTTCTTTTGGGGAGGTTATGCATATTTTCACATATTTATCAAACACTTCAGTTTTTCCTTCTCTGAATTGCCTTAATATTCTTTACCCATTTTTCTATCAGGTTGTTAGTCTTTTCCTTATTGATTTGTGTTGAGTTCTTTATAAATTCTAGTTACAAATTCTTTTTGACTATCTGCATTGCCAGTATCTTTCTTCGATCCAAGGTTTGTCTTTCATCTTTGTATATGATGTTTTCTGTTGAACATATAATTTTAATTTTAATGTGGTTAGATTCATCAGTCCTTTTCTTTGTGTTTTTTGACCCTAATTAATTTCTTTCCTATTCTGAGGCCATACGATTTTCTTCTGTATTTTATTCTCAAAGTTTAAAAGTATTTCTTTTCACAATTAGGACTTTACTTTTATGTATGGTGTGAGGTAGGAATTTCTTTTTTCCCACGTGGATTGTCCTAAAATATGTCTCCATGTATGCATCTGTCTTTTTCAGGGCTAACTACTCTGTTTCATTAGGCCATTTTTGTATCCCTCCAATAATATAACACTTTATAATGACTCTTACTATCTGGTATGCAGGTCCCTTGTTGTTCATCTTCTTTAAAATTTTTTAGCTACTCTTATCCATTTTTCTTCCAAATGAATTTTAAGACCATTTTACATTAAGGACCCTGTTGAGATTTTTGAGTTGAATTACTTTGAACTTATAGATTAAATAAATGGGACAGTTGATATTGATATCTTTCTGTACATTTATTTACATCTATTTTGTGTCCTTCTTGACTATCTTGTATTTCTGCTATTTAATTTTTTCCTAGGTACCTTATAGTTTTTTTTCTTTTGCTATTTATGCTTATTTTCTAATATTTATTTGTGGTGTAAAAAATGGTATTGATTTTTGCATGTTGATATTGTATCCAACCATCTTGCTGAGGATTCCTATAATTTTATAGTTTGTTGAATCTCTTGGATTTATGTAAAGGCAATCATTTTGTTGGCAAATAAGGACATTTTTGTCTCTTCTTTTTCCAATTTTATATTTCTCAATTATTTTTCTTGTCTTATTGCACAGGTTACAACCTTTAATGCATTATTGAACAGAAGTAATGACAGGAGGAATTCTGTTCTTGATTCTGACTTTAATGGGAATTCTAAAGCTTAAAACTTCATTTAAAAATGAAGTATGATTTTTGCTATAAGATTTTGATAGATACCCTTAATTTGGTTACTGAATGTAGTATATCTTCTGTGACTTTTTTTCTAGGATTATCAGATATGGATATTAGCTAGGTATATATGTATGTATGTGTATTCAGAAAAATGAAAACATTCTCTACATAATGGTGTAAAAGTGTTCTTTCCTTTTAACAAGATATCATGGATATCTTTCTAGGTCACTTTTTAAAATACAGTTACATTGTATGGAATTCAGAAGTTTAAAAATTTTAAGTAGACATATCTGTCTATCTTTTCTGATAATTTCTTCTATTCTCAATTTAGATTTTTTTCCTCCCTCCAGGAATTTGATGAATATTTAGAACTGTTTTCTCTACTTTTCTATAGTTTCATGTTTTACATTTAATTCATTTGTTTTTTTATTCTGAATTTGATGTATTTACATTAAAAAATAATGCTAACTCCTTATATATGGTATCATCATTGCCACCCAATGCCATTTCTGTAAGAACAAAAGCTTGAGATAAACCCTCTAAAATTAAGAGGGAGGGGATATTAGATTAGATTATTTCCAAGATACTTTTCAACTGGCTAAATATGTACTCTCACCTCTGCCAAAGAATATTATTTCTAGTTTGTTTTGGTTAAAAATAATGTGAAGTGGGTGAAAGCCTGGCTCTTTATTACATAGGAACTTCCACTGTCCAAAACAGATGTGGTTCTTCAGAAATTGTGGACCCATTATTAGGTTTCTATGAACCATACTTGTCCTTGAGGAGTTGAATTTTTTCTGACATGAGTGATTTCCTTAAAATTTTCATGCATAATATTTTGGGAGAGGCAGTGTTATTAAATGGATAAATGTGGTTATCAGAAATATAAAATTGGGAGATAGTGTTATCAGAATGTAAGCTTCATGAGAGCAAGGATTTTTGTCTCATTTGCTAACTGATCTTTTTAGTGCTGAGAACAGTACATGGCATATCAGAGATGTTCAATAAATATTTGGCAAATACATGAATGAATGAGTCGAATAACCCACATTTTAGAATCTGAAGTGTGACCCAAGGATAGTCACATCTCTCTGTTTACACAGTGAAGGTGACAATATGGTATATGTCTGTGGGGAATTATTTGGTTGCTTTCTTCTAAATGATTTTCTATCAAGGAATGGAATTTATGAAGGAGTGAAAGCAGAATGGTTAGAGAAAGGGGATTTACACAGAGGCATTTAAAAGAATATATGGAACTGGAGTGTGAAAGAAAGAAATGTATCCATACAGGCTATGTGGCAAGAATATTTAGAATTTGGGCTGGAGAGAACTTAAAATCCCTTAGCCAGCCTTGTGTTTCAGGGCAGGGTGCTCAGTGTCAGAGATGAAGTGAATGCCCAATTGCACACAGCCGGTGAGGGCAGAGCTGGTGCTAGTGCCCAGGTCTCATGGTGCCCAGTTCAGGGCTCTTTCCATTAAACAGACACAGGCAAAACCAACTTCTTAAATGGCAATTAGTGAAATGTAAAATGTGCAATTGAATGTACTCTAATTAAAAGTGGCAGTGGTGAAAAGCCCAGCAAAACAAGAGGAAGCTCTATAAAACCAGAATCCAATTTTAACAAACATTATTAGGGAACATCAGATAATAAGGGGTAATTAATAACATGAAAAGAACGTAATCAAAGATAGAAGTTATAGTTGGCTAAAGGTAAGAACCACTTTAGCTTTTGGCGTATTGTAAAATCTCATTTGGCTAAGTCAAAATTTCTAAAGCAGTGCAGACTTTCTTCTGTTTTGCAAATTCAATTCCAACCCTTCTTTCCAGTTTGTTAGTCTGATTATCTCATTGACTCCTCAGAAAAACTTTTCCTCCTCTTTACCCAGAACCAATTTTTCCTGAGGAAAAAAAATTCTCTTTGGCATGATACCATTAAGCTTGGAGAATCTCTTATTTGTTCATTCATTAATCAATTCATTCCAATCACTCACTTAACAAACATTCATTGGAAGCCTACTGTGTGCAGGTACTGTGCAATTTTCTGGGGCTGTAAAGATTAATTAGCTATTCTTGATGTAAAGATTAATTAGCTGGTCTTGAAACAGACATGGTAAACCCGTAATTGCAGTGCAAGATAGGATGTGTTATAAGAGATTGAAAAGGAGGAATTAACACTGTCTAAGAAGTAAGATAGGGCTGCAGAGAGGAGGTGATGACAGAGCGGTGTCTAGAGGGAAATGGAATAGGAATTTGCTAGTTGGACATGGAGGGCCCCTTGTAGGCAGAGTGGATCGTCTGTGCAAAGCCATAGCGGGGACAGAGCATGACTGAAAGGGCCACTTACCTGCATGTGAATGTCCTTGGAGTTGATCACTTCCACGATGCCCACCACATTGTCAAACACAAGGCCAAACTTCTTACAGTTGTCTAGGGAAAAAGGAAAAAAACAACTCCACTAAATACATATGGCATGTTTATACAAAGCAACTTATGATAGTAACTACAGAGCGATAGTTCTGCCCTACCAATTATAATGGAATTTATTTTCCCTTTCATCTGTAAAGTAGACTTGTTGCAATTGAAGATGTAAGCCACTTGTCTCAGTTCAGTCTGTGGAATCACAAGGTCACTCCTGTCCTCTTGGTACTCCTAAAATTAAAACACACGCAAATATTAAATATAAGGATGTGTAGATAAATTGAATCCATTACATACTGAAATTACTACAGAGTTCAGCATTCATTAATTATAGCTTTTCAATATGTTCTTTCTTTCAGAACCCATTTTCTCACAGACTAAACCACAGGTCTTACTTTGTCATTGTAGTGTTGGAAACGGATGGAACCACTGCTTGGAAGAGGGGTCAGTGTCAATTTGCAAACAGTCAGGTATCAGGCACCAGGACTAGTGGGTAGGGGCTGCAGCAGGGATGTGAGAGCTTTTTGTTGAGTCTGGATGCTGAGTCTGGACTTGATACTGTAGCAAGATCTGCCGTGTCAAGTAGGAGTTAGGCAAATAGGCTAGTTAGGGTCACAATAGTGGTGTAAGTCCTGGTGTATTTTCAGACCATGACACACTTTCCAGGGATTTTGCCCCTCCATCATGAGAGAAGCCCCTGGCTTGGCAGGGGCACCAACTTCCATCCTCATTCAAAGCGTCTCTGTCCTGCTCACACAGTGGTCAAAGTGGTGGGTGAAATGGTAGGTTATATCAGCACCTCCATCAGTGGGATAGAATGAAACATCCCACAGCAGATCAGAATGGGGCACAGATGAAAACAAAGAGTTGTCAAATTCATAGAGACACAAAGTAGAAAGGTGGTTGCCGGGGGCTGAGGTGAGGAGGGAATGGGGAGTTGTTGTTTAAGGGGTACAGAGTTTCAGTTTTATAAGACGAAAAGTTTTCTCTGGATGGACGGTGGTGATGGTTGCATAACAATGTGAATGTGCTTAGTGTCACGGAACTGTACACTTAAATGTTGAGATGGTCAATTTGATGTTATGTGTATTTTACCACAATTTAAAAAAATAATTTAAAAAAGTTGAAGAAAAGAATGCATGAGAAATAATGAAAAATAAAAACGTTTATGGAAATCCTCAGAAATGCCCGTTTCTCTTCTAGCCAGTGGCTTTTGCCTCTGTCATTTCACTTAAAAATCCTTAAGACCTTGGTAAACGGTTCAGCCATTGGTCCCTTCATGGGAGCGTGTCAGGAATAAAGGTAAAATGATTTCACTCACTACTCTCCATTTCTTTCCTTCCAACTCGAATACAGGAGCATGTTTCTGAGGAGGATAAGATTGGGGAGACTTGGGGGCTGGAGTGTGGCTTTTGGTTAGAGATGGAGTTTGTCCTCCTTGAGCCCGTAGGCTGGGATTCTTGTATGTCTTCTGGTCATCTGTGACATGCCGGAGCCCTGGGAAGGTAATACATAGACACATTTATTTATATTTTATGCAAAGAGAAATGCCCCTAGCTTCTTAGATCAATATGATGTAAACAGCACAAGAATTTTTGATAATGCTATTTTCAAAGTAGCCTAATGTTTTCTCAAGGTTAATATGCAGAGTCTGAGACCTGTATAAATTTAGAGTTAATAGAAAGCACTGTAAGTATGTTTTAATTTGAGGAACCTCTTCTTTAAGGAGATGAGATGATAGATAAAAATTCTGCAAAAAACAAACCCTCTCACCAAAAAGGATTGCATGATTTACTTCTCTCATGGCTAAATCATTCCCCAGACATAGCCTAAAAGGTTAGGGCATTCCAGTAAGTATATGTCAGAGTACGGAATTGACTTTAGGGTTATGAGTCCATTCCTTTATTGGCAGATGAGGGGACAGTACAGCCAGCTGGAGCCAGAAAAAAATTTAGAATTTTGGGTTCTTAGCTCCCAGCCCAGTGCATAGGGACACTTATACCATAATTCCTGTTACTCATGCAAAGCAAAAATATATTTGCATAAAGTTTTTGGCAACATGACTTTACTGTTTAGAATGCATGTGCCCCTGATCCTGATGTATTTTGAATATTGTATGTTTTTTTTTTAAATTAATCATTCACTGTGAGGACAAAGGTTGTTCAATGATAGAATTCTTTGACAAGTGTGTACACTGCTTGAGAACAGAGGTGCTACTGTTTGTCATTTTTATTTCACTCAATCTTGACGCCTTGGTTGTAGGTGGTGCTGAAGCATCCGAGGCTGAAGCAGTGATGCGGTGCAGTGGTCCAAACAGAACCCAAAGTATCTGAGTTCTTCTTTCTGGTCCACACTACAGTCCACTGAGCCCATCTATCTTGAGATGGAGAACACTGCAGGCTCCTGCCATCCCAAGAGCAGCTGCCTGTGTGTTGGCGACTGGGATGGAAGGATGCATCCAAGACTGTGTGCTCTGGGGGATCTGTGTGCCTGGAGCCAGAGGGAGACACCTTCAAGGTCTGGTTTTCTCACCTTTTATAATCGCTTCCCCTTGGTTAAGTTGGGCAAATAAAGCTGAGCGTGAAGGAGAGGACTGCTCTTTTCTGCCTTCATTCTCAAAAAGTGGAGGTGGCCCTGGAGGAGGTGGAGGAGGTGGGGGTGGAGGAAGGCCAGGCCCCGGGGAGAGGACAGACAATGCTGATGCAGTTGATGCTACTGGACCCTGTGGAAGAGAGAAGATGGAAGGCACTGCATTGAGACCAGTGCCCTTGCCAAGAGCTGGCATTTTGTCAACGTCACTCAGAACCTGTTGCCCATGAGGGAGTAGGGTTCAAGACTCACAAAGGGCACCCGGGGCCACACCTGGGCATCATGAGTCTGTTTGGGAGAACCTGGGACCGAGGGGGGATTCACCTTGGGAACGGACCATGACTTAGCCGTACAGCCTTGTCAGTAGAAACTGCATGTCCAGGATTCACGCTGCCAACTCAGAGGCAAACAAAACCATATTCACAGGTTCATGTCCAAAGCTCAGGATCTGAATGAAACCAGGCCTGAACCAATTGAGAATCATAAGAAAAATGTGGTCCAAATGATAAGAGGATTCGCTTTTTGGGACGCTGGGAATTGCAACCACCAACGAGAGAGAGGGAGAGAGAGTGGTGAAAAACATTCAGTGGTTACTAGATGTTTTTGAACCTTTTTGAACAGCTTTAAAGAAAGAGATACTGAAACTCTTTGGAACTCATTTTTCAAGTAAGTATGCCTCAAATTGACTCCCAAGCAAGGACCATATGTGACCTGGATGCCTGTCAAAACCTGAAGGTGATCATGGTCCAGAACCCATCTGATGGTTTGGTTCATCTAATGCTGATTGTAAGTGAACCAACTAAAAATTGGATTTTTCCTGAGCAGGATCTATGCTTATTCTTTTTTTCTCTGCTATGTGAAGTGGATATGAAATTCTAACAAATTCAAATGGCAGAAAAAGGTGATAGACAAGAGAGGGATTTGTCTTAATGCTTTGAGAGGACCCCATAGGTGACGTTGTCACAGAGCTTAAAACTAGTAGGATAGAAACATACATATACAACAAACTTGGGTTACATACCATTTTACTTTTAAACCATGAAGTAAAACTGTATACCTATGAGAAGGAATTATAAGCGAATTCAATTAAAAAATAGTCAAGAAACTTAAAAAATTGAGAGTGATGGAAATGTGGCTTAGCTTGTATATTTTTAATACCAAATACAAAATGTAAAACATCACATAAGTAAGTGCTAAATATTAACAAAGACAGCATATCCCTACTTTCATAAACAACTCAGTATTACAGTGGTCAAATATCAGGAAGTTTTTAATCTGTAGTAGTTTTCAGTTGAAAAAAAAACCACATTATTTTCAAAGTTCTATATAACCCCTATTAACTGTAGAATTACCCCGACAATAGAAGATTCTTCTCTTATTCAGAATGCACATCTTAAAAACTGAGCAGGCTGGAGGTCTTGTCTCCTGAAGATGTAATTTGTGATGGTTTTTTGTTTTTAAGGAAGACCAGCCTCACGCCATCAGGATTCTCGCGTCAGGAAGAAAACAACTGCAGTCCTTGAGACTGACTAATTTTTTTTGCAGTATCATAAATGTTTTCCATTATGTTACTGGAGTGAAATTTGAGATTTTGCTCTGAATCCTAAAGAGTGTATAATATAGCTTTGCACATCAAACAATATTCCAGTCCTCAGTTCCAGACACTGAGAGCCACGAAGTATTACTTTTACTCATAAGCACATAATAACTCAAAGTCAGTGAAGGGACAGACCCCCTCCCCCGCACCCGAAACACTGCAGCTTTATGGCCGTCCTATTTTGTGGCAAGAGGAGACGACACTGGCTTCCAAATCGTAAAATGATTTAGATGGTTCCCTCGCTCTCAGAATTCAGAGCCTCTTTCCAAGAGCCATTAGAGGACACTGAAACCAATAAGCCACATATTCAACTTTTTGGAGCTTGGATACATTCAGATGGCTGACCCAGGAACACCAAACAAAGGATTTACTGCAACAGATGTTGAATACAAAAGCCAAAAAATATGAGCACTCAGGACCAGCTGAAACTCTGCCTTGGACTTATCCTTTGTACGTTCTGGCTTATTCCTGTATCAGCCCCAGTGAGAGCACAAAACTAGGCTCTGGTTTCCACGGTTACTTCACAATTAGCATTCAGGGGCTTTACTGTATACAGTGTACTCGAAAGCAAACTCATTAGACATTCCCTTAACAGGATCTCTGTGGGCTGCCCCTGCAGCGCCAACTTATCTCTGCCTCTTTTTCCTCTTCTCCTCCTGCAGGATATTATAGCACATGATTCCAGAACTTTGTGCATTCTCACATGTGCCTGGCCATGAGTGGCAACCGCATCCACTGGAATCACAGCCCAACACTAAGTCTTCAGGCGTCCCAATCAAATCAGAGGGGAGACGGTTAGGGAAGGGAAGGGAGCCAAGAATTCTGGAAAGTCCAGCATGTGCCAGGCACTGATTGTTTCCATTCATTTAACAGATATTTAACGCTCCGTATAGGACAGGCTCTATGCCCGGGGTTCCCACACTTGTCGGAACATTGAAATCATTTGGGGATCTGTTAGAAATTCCAAAGGCCAGGCCACGTCACAAAAACGCTCTCTGGGAAGGTGGGACACAGGCAAGTGTATTTTTTGAAGCTCCCTCAGTGATTCCAGCGTGCAGACAAGTTTGGGAACAACCACTCTATATGCTATGTGCTGAGGTTAATCTCAGTCATTACAACAATATTATTAGGACTGTATTGAAATCCATCTTTAACAGAAAATAAAGCAGGAAATCAGAAAGGCTGACCCAATATTAAATGGCCAGTAAATGGCAGAGACATAATTCAAGCACATATCTGCTCGATCCTAAAGCCTTCTTCAAGATGGGTGGTTGCCAGAGGCACGGGGTGGAGGTGGGCAAAACGGGTGAAGGGGGTCATAAGGTACTAACTTCCAGTTATAAAATAAACATGTCCTGTAGATCTAATGTATGGCATGGTGACTACAGCAAATAATACCGTATTGTATATTTGAAAGTTGCTAAGAGTAGATCTTAAACGTTATCATCGCAAGAAAAAAAATTTGTAACTGCCTATGGTGACAAATGTTAACTAGACTTACTGTGGCGATCATTTCACAACATATACAAAAATCAAATCATCATGTTGTACAACTGAAACTAATATGTTATATGTCAGTAATTTCTCAACAAAAAATTACTTAAAAAAATAAAGCCTTCTTCAGGGAAATCCTTTATGCTATATTCAGACTTTTTTCTTTGTAATAGTCACTAGTCAAATGAAAGAACCAGAGGTGTGGGCTACTTCACCCCTTTATGTAGTGCTGCTCTTGGGCCTCTGGCTTGAAGATACATGACTGAAGTATCGGGAGGTGGTGTAATAACTGGCTTAGTTTTTATCTCCACCATTCCTTGCTCCATCCTTCTAGTGCCTTGGCAGCTGACCAAACTCCTACAGCCAACTGTGGAACCAGGCTTGATCCTATGGTGATATAAGGTCTTGGGCGTTGACAGTGGCATCTCAGCATCAAATCACCCTTGACACTAGTTTGCTGTTACTCTATGCCCTGGTTCTAGAAACTTGTCCTATTCATTTTTCCTGAGTACCCAGTGGTTCCAAGAATACAGTACTTGCACCCAAATCTTGGTTCCTTGCCTAGCACTCAAGTTGTTCTGGGATGGGGTCCTGACCCCACTCCTGGGGACTAGAGATTTAAAGGCATCGCCTCTCGGTGTGATTTCCTTTGGAGATAAAGTCTCATGACAGAGGGAAGGCACCAGGTTGTCTAGACTAAATGAAAGGTAGTGGATCATGTCTGGGCATATAACCTCGGCTGCCCATTGAGTGATCCACTGCTTCTTATTCTCAATGGGATACAGGCCCTGTAGGAAGTGGAGCTAAGAGGAGAAAGGAGCTCTGGAAAAGGGCAGAGATTTGACCCAGTTCACACTTTGCGTTTAGGTCCGTGTAGGGCTAGAGAAGGATCGCTCCCAGATGGGCACACTTATCTGGGAGGTGCCGGAAACAACGGCTGGGAAGAGCCTGGGAAGAGCCTCTGAACCAACATACCTGCTCCAGGGACCTGAGAGGGTCCTGGGAGAGTCGCAGGGGATAACATTTAATTAGCCTACAGACTACATTCAGAGCCTATGCATGCAGATAAAACACATGCAGACTAAAACAAAGACATTTAATAAAAGATGCCATCTACTTGCAAATTATCTGAATATTTCTAGTGCTTCTAAAAGAACCCTTTTCTTAACAACAAAAATTCTTTTACAGTGTGTTTGACCCTGGCAATTACTTTAATTTCATTTCTACAGTGTAGAATTATACATCTAAAAGCTCAGAACCTACAGGATTAGGATATCATGTGACTTGCACAGGGTCACATAGACTGGAAAGTCAAGGCGAAGACTGAAACGGAGGCACCTGGAGAAAGACTTCACCTTAGTGAAGCAGCAATGACCCCCACACAAATGCTTGTTTAAAATACCACTTTGTTATGTTGATGAAACATTCCCAGAAATGAACCCCAGACTGGGAACAATTGAAAAATACATTTTATTAAAGTCATTGTAACAGTGGCTTACAACTTAAAAACAAGAAAAGCAGCACATTTATGATTTTAAATGGTCATATTCAGGGTGCAAAAGTTCACTGCTGTTGTAAGAACACACCACAAAACCTAAAAATGCTGCTTTTGAAAGCTCAATTAAGATTAATTTTGAGAGCAGACGTTTGATTATATACTCTTTTTTTTGAGGAGGCACAAGACTTTTTAAAAAGTCTGCAAATACCTTTCTCTAAGTTAATTTCAACTCTCCTCGGAACAGCTGTCTCCTCTGATTTTAAATATATGAATTATAACTATAAAATAATGAAACCATTGTATGCGGCATGTGGAAAGCTTGTAATGGTTTGGTTATATATACTACATATACACAATTATATAACTATATTACATATAATATAATGTGCATCAAAATTTTTTTGGTTATTTGAAATAATTACTAATTACTTTATTACTTTAGAATTTAGATTTTATTCTGAAAGGAAAACTACTTCTATTTCTTAAATGAAATATCCACATTGCTTTGTGGTGGCAATTACATATGTAATTAACAACCCACTTC